TGAACAGTTTTTTCACCTATAAAAGTAATAATAATATTATTAATATTCTCCTTAAAATATTAAATTATATATATATATAAATATAAATAATATTCACCTGTTCAGGAAAAACATTTGATACAAACTGGGCCAGTGACTTTGTAATTTATCAGCAATATTGTTGGCAAGTGGTGTGATCCCATTAATCAACTCATCAACACATCTATTATGAGTTATTTATTAGTATTAATGATTAAAAATATTTAGATTTATAAAGAATTTAAACTTACTTTTTATGTTCAATTTGATCATTGCACAAATAAGAATCAGAATTATATGGTAATATTGCATAATTACAAAAAAATACCAAAAGGTTCTGTATTTTTTTTTTAAAAAAAAATATGATTGATGATTGGAATTTTCTTTTAAATCCATATAATATCTGTGGACTGAAAACTCTGCTTGATTTAAAATTTTTAAATCAGATTCAGAAACATCAAAAACCTTTATCAGTGTTTCTCTTTTACTATTGAAGTAATGAGATTCACCTAAGAAATCAAATAAATGATTTGAAAAAAAAATACTATTTTTTAAAAAAAGAAAATTTACCATTTATCTTTGTATATTGCATTGTAATTAATTTGTCAAGCATTTTTTCTTTGTCAGCCATACAAGCATCTCTCTTTTCATCTTCATGTTTTGAATAATTAGCAGCATATGAGATGCTTGCTTTTTTTAAACTACTAAATTCTAAATTATTCTTATTTACAAATCCTAAGTTTTCAGCTAATTCTATCCAAAAGGATTCTAAACTATCATTATAACTTTAGATTAAATTTTAATCTTTTCATTATAAATTCTATAATAAAAATCTATATTATTGCTATTATTTAGCATTTCATTTGTTTTTTCTAAAATTTGCTTTTTCTCATTTTCATAATTACTATTGTATTTAATTATTATTTTAATTGCTTTTGAATATAATTCAGAAGGTGTGTATGTGGGTGGATTATCCCAAAAAAAATTTAATACCATTTTCCTTTCTATATTAATATTATTATTACCTATTCTTATTCATTAAAATTATAGTCTTCTAAAGTCAAATCACTTGGTACTGGTAGTATACCTATCCATTTTGAATCAATATTTTCACAGTCTATTAGATCTTTGTGACCATAAATCCTCTCTGATTTTGATGGAATCATTTAATTCAAATAAAATATATTTTAATTAATGAATTTATTTTAATTAATAAATATAAACAATAAAAATTTTAATTAAAATAATTACATCATAATTTTCTCCTACTGGTAAAAAATTTATTGATTGAGATTCAACAACCTTGTAAAGATTTCTAGACATTTTTTGAAATTATTTTTTTATAAGAAAATTTTTTTTTGATTTTTGTTGTGCATGAAAATGAAATTTATATGAATTTTGAATTAGCCAATAGATTTCAACTTCAATGGGAAATTGCATGATACATATAAACAATAACTATCATTTTTTTTTAGGAAAAAATGTTCATTATGGCAAGGTCCATTATAACTGAAGATGGGAACTGCAACCACAACAATTCAATTTTTATATGCCACAATTATTTGCAACTAGTCACAATTAATTGAGGAGCCATCTTTAATTATAACAAGGTCCATTACAGCAAGATCCATTACATTATTATTATAGAGCAAGATCTATTATAGAAAGGTCAATTATTATTTATCAAATATGAAACCTTTCTGTATATTTTGTTCTGTAAATATTGAAGATCAACTATTATTCAGAACCTTTCTGTATATTTTATTCTGCATATATTGAATATCAATTATTATTCAGAACCTTTCTGTATATTTTGTTCTGTAAATATTGAAGATCAATTATTATTCAGACCCTTTCTGTATATTTTGTTCTGTATATATTGAAGATCAATTATTATCCAGAACCTTTCTTTATATTTTGTTTTGTATATATTGAAGATCAATTATTATTCAGAACCCTTCTGTATATTTCATTCTGTATATATTGAAGATCATTTATTATTTATCAAATATGCAGTATCTTTCTGTACATTTCATTCTGTATGTCTGGATTCTATATCATTAATTATACAAAATTGGAATCAGTGTATTAATTTATATCTACTTTTTGTTGGTATGCCTGGCCTTATTATTTCAAGCTTGTATACAGCAAAATTTGACTATAGCATTAATGTTATCATTAAATTTTAAAAATTATAAAAAAAAAATTAGTATTTAATAACAAATATAATATGTTAATAAATTCTAATTGATGTAAATAGCATTTGGATGAATTATTGCAATCGTGGTTTTAAAAAACATATCAAGCATTTTTAATTAATTTATGTATTTAAAAAAAGTTAAATTTTACCCCATTAAAAATTCTTCTAGACTAAACACACATGGATATTTATTGTAAATATAACATTTAAGATTAATATTAAATGCACTCAATTTGTATACAATTTTTTGGAAGGTTTTCCAGATATGAGTAGTGAAAATAAAATAGCATTGTTGCAAAAGTTGTTGATAGTGATGGATTATATGGTGCCAATTTTTGATCATTTGTCCATGTAGCAAATACACTTTTTACAATATCCTATAAAAAAGCTCATTGAAGATAATAATAATTCTCATATTTCATTTAATGTTTGTTTCTGCAGATTCATTCTTGAAATAATAGCTGGAGTCACATGAATAATTATTAGTGTTATATTTATTACAAATTGGTCATTTACCAGTTGGAGATGTATGTGATGGCTTTAGTTAGATGAATTTGTATATAATTTTAAGTTGTAATTTTTAATTTGTTAATTAACTAGACAAAAAGTTAGGCATTTACATATTTTTCTTTTCCTTCATATGAATATTCACATTTTGAATTTTTTTTTTATATTATATGATACATGTTAATAAACCATCACAGGAACATAAGTGATTTTTGAAAATTATCACCATTGAAAATCATTGAAAATCTTATACTAATTTCTAGGGTTCTGTATCAGTCGCAGGACATTGCGGATCTACAGGGAGTCAAGTGTCACTCACTAATAAAAATTTTTTGATCAACACGGAATTTTATATGAAAAAATGAAGAAAAAAATCACGC